TATATGTATATGTACTTGATCGGAGCAACGATAATTATACGACTAGCTTTTAATTTGATATGTCGCTCTCTTTGAGCTCGAGCGCCATGATATTATCTAAAGTGTGGTCGTGACAATTTTCTGTGACAAGTTTATTTTTTTTTTTTTTTTTCTTCAATGAAATTGAATTCATTCGACTGCATAATATTTATTGTCCATATGTATATACATTTAATATAATTTTATATTAATTGCAGGAAGAAAAAATTAATAATTAAATAAAGATAATTATAATTTTTTACTTGTAATTTTTTTTATCTTTTTTTTTTTCGTCGCATACTTTTATCAAACTTTTTTCTTTCTATTTTTTTTTTCTTTTCTCCCTCTTAATCTATAAACATTTTTTTGGCTCACCCTGTAGAAAGCCGTGTTCGTCACGTTGGTCGCGTGTTTACCGAGAACATCACACTCCTTTCCCCCTACCCCTGACCCCCTTTTCTTGGAGTAAAATTTTATACGCTATTACTATAAATACCAGTGATTAACAAAAGTAACTCACATCGGTTACTTTATTTTCATTCATTCGAAGTAGAAACCACGCGTGCCAACAAATTTTCTAAGAAATCTAATCCTGATCTTACATATTTATATATGTTTATATACGTGTGTGTCTGCCAAGGGTGGGACCAAAAGTTTTTTGTATAGGTGAACTTTTTAAAATCAATTACTCTTTTTCGACAGACCTTTTCAGATCGATCTTTTTGTTTTCCTTTTTCTTTTCTTTTTTCTTTTTTCCATATAATTACAAAACCACAAATTCTATTATAACAACAACTTACAATTCCTATAGAGTCTGAGTTTTAAAAAGTCTTAGAGTTTTGAAAATCATTTAGGGATCTAGGAATCTTTAAAGTATTTCGTTTATGTTTTTTTTTTCTTTTTCTTTTCTTTATTATTATTATTATTATTATTATTGTTTTTGTTAAATCTTTTTTTCTTAAATCTTTTTTCCACACTTTCAACATGGCTACCGGCATATATATCAGGTCCGCCATTGTGTTGAACTTCAAAGAGAAGGAAGGACTTTTTAGAAAAGTCATTTTCTTCGAGTATCGTCAGCCCTTCTTAATGCGATGACTATTGTAATTGAGGTCACCATCTTCATCCCCCAGCCCTTCACCCTACACCCTCCACCCTTCATTATGACTGACGATGGCTGCTACTCAATTTTGCACTTGACATTATTTCGAACGTTTATAAGATTCGCATTTCCGTCGGTAAAACAGAACGACGTTGTTACGAGGATATTAATATTTATTTTTACTTTTATTACTTTTATTATTTGTTTAAGAAAATAAAAACAAAAATAAAAAGGAAAAAGAGAAATTAAAAATTTACATCGGTGAAACAGAACGACGAAATTGGCAAATTCATTTTTTATATCTAACAAAATTAATTATCTATTAATAAAGATAGAAACAGTGGGATTAATTTTTTATATTTTATTACTTTATTATTTATTATCAAAAAAAGAAATGTGTGAAATAATTTTATTATTATTATTATTATTATTATTATTATTATTATTATTATCGTTGGATTTATATCAAATTTATATTATAGTAAAAAAGTTTTAATCGAAGATATTGTATATACAAGGAATACTTTTATGATGACTAAACACAATTTAATAAGATTTTCCAATGATTTAGAAACGATTTTGTAAGATATATTTAATAGTACCAGTACGCACACGTATAATAATCATTAAAGACATATATGTATATTCTATGTAACTAGATGATCGTCGATAATAATCCATTCTCTTAGTCCAATGAACAGAGAAAAAGATTATAGGTACTAGCGTTTGTGTGTGTGTGTGTGTGTGTGTGTTTGTTTGTTTGTGCGTGCGTGTATGCGTATCTATGTTACAGGTCCATTAGCGACGCTTTATAGTGCGTATGAATGGGAGTCATAAATTCATCTATTAATTAAGATCAATCGGTTGCAAGTGTACTTGCGAGATAAGATAAGATAAAAAAGGAAAAAAAAAGGAAGAGGAGAAAAAGAAGGGGGTAAAAAAAGATTAATAATAAAAAAAAAAAAATTCGAAAAGAATTCAATTGAGAGGTACCAAAAAAGAAAAAAAAGAAAAGAAAGATTATAATAGTGACGATAAAAAAAAAGAAAAAAGAAAACAATTCGACGATAATTAAGATGGCGGCGGCAGTGATAGGGGTGTGGGTGTGGGTGGCGGTATGTCGAAGAAAAGAGAAAAAAACAAATTAAATAATTCCATCTCCGTATAATATGTACTCGGATTTTAATTTCAAATACTTTTATATATATATATATATATATATAATTGTGTGTGTGTGTGTGTGTATTGTATCGTTATCAAATAATTTGATCTCTTTATCGTTTTATTCATGTATTTATTTATTTATTGATTGATTGATTGATTGATTGATTGATTGATTGATTGATTTAATTAATTCTTTTTCTTTTGAAAATGTCGTAG